TTGTTCATAAAGGAGACACAATGTATATAAATAGGTAGACTTGTTCATAAAGGAGACACAATGTATATATATAGGTAGACTTGTTCATGAAGGAGACACAATGTATATAAATAGGTAGACTTGTTCATAAAGGAGACACAATGTATATAAATAGGTAGACTTGTTCATAAAGGAGACACAATGTATATAAATAGGTAGACTTGTTCATGAAGGAGACACAATGTATATAAATAGGTGAACCTTTTCAATGAAAGACACTGTAAAAATATAGGAAACTTGTTTAATAATGGAGACATTCCATAGAAATAGGTACATTGCACAATAAAGGAGATTATATATAGGAATGTGTAGAAATGTTCAATAAAAAAGACACCGTATAGAAATAGCTAGACGTGATCAATAAGATAAGGAACACTGCATACAAATAGATAAACGTACAAGAAAGAAGACACGGTATTGAAATAACTAGACATGTTCTGTAAAGAAGACAATGTACAGAAATGCATGTTAAATAACAGAAACACATAAAAACAAGATGTGTTTGTGAAACACTGATAATAATAAAAATAAGGTGAAACATGAAAACCGAAGCACCAATCGTTCAAAAGTTATGGCCAAGGTTAAAGTTTTCCAAAAGTAGGTCAAACTCCTAGGTCAAGGTCAAAGGGTCAAAGTTGTTGGTATCCAAAGAAAGGTCTTGTCACAAGAATTACATATGTGAAGTATGAAAGCTCTAGCACCAACCGTTAAAAAGTTATGGCCAAGGGTAATGTTTTTTCAAAAGTAGGTCAACCTCCAAGGTCAAGGTCAAAGGGTCAAAGTTGTTGGTATCCAAAGGAAGGTCTTGTCACATGGATTACACATGTGAAGTATGAAAGCCCTAGCACCAATTGTTCAAAAGTTATGGCCAAGGGTAAAGTTTGGTAAAATTTTGCAAAACTGGGTCAAACTCCAAGGTCAATGTAAACGGTCAAATATGGTGGTACCCAAAGAAAGGTCTTGTCACAAAAAATACACATGTGAAATATGAAAGCCATAGCTCCAACCAATCAAAAGTTATGGGCAAGGTTAAAGTTTTTGCGGACAAACAAACAGACAGACAGACGGACGGACAGGGCAAAAACTATATACCCCTGAATCTTCGATACGGGGGCATAAAAAATAGGTAGACTTGTCCAATATAAAAGACACACTGGATAGATATAGGTAGACTTGTTTAATAAAGTAGACACTGTATAATATGACCTGCTCAGTAAAGGAAACACAGAAGATAAGTAGATAGACGTACAATTAAAGAGACTCTGCATTAAAAATATGTAAACTTGTTCAATAAAGAAGGCGCTGTATAAAAATATGTGGATGTATTCAACAAAGGGAACACTCTTTAGAAATAGATAGACACAGTATAAAAAAACGTAGAGATGTTCAGTAAGGAAATACCGTGTAAAAATATTAGACATGTTTAAAGAAGGAGACACTTTATAGAAATAGATACACATTTTATTTAAAGGACAAACTGTATCGATATAGGGAGACGTGTTTAGTAAAGGAGACATTGTATATAAAATAACTAGACATGTACAATTAAGGAGACACTGTTTTTTAAATAACTAGACATGTTCAATAAAGGACACCTGTAGAGAAATAGGGGGGGGGGGTATTTAATAAGGAGACACTGTAGAGAAATAGATAGACAATAACGAAACCCGGGGGGGGGGGGGGGGGCGGTAGACATTTAATAAGGAGACACTGTAGAGAAATAGATAGACAATAACGAAACCCGGGGGGGGGGGGGTGGTAGACATTTAATAAGGAGACACTGTAGAGAAATAGGTAGACATCTAATAAGGAGACACTGTAGAGAAATAGGTAGACATTTAATAAGGAGACACTGTAGAGAAATAGGTAGACATTTATTTAGGAGACACTGTAGAGAAATAGGTAGACAATTAATAATGAGACATTGTAGAGAAATAGGTAGACATCTAATAAGGAGTCACTGTAGAGAAATAGGTAGACATTTAATAAGGAGACACTAGAGAAATGAGTAGACTTGTTTTATAAAAGAGTAACTAGATATATAGAAACAGGAAGACATGTCAATAAAGAGAAAGTTCAAGATAGAAGGAGCCGCTGTCTTACTTTAGTTATATTAGTCAACCTGTCTTTATATTCCTATGAAGCAGAATTTATACAAAAATTTCTACATGAGAGGTGGAAGACATTGTTGGGTCTTCAATTCGACATTCAGACATATCATATATTTATCAATTAACAATGGTTACTTCCATTCATATGTTAACTCGATATATCCGAGTGAACTCGAAGTAAAAAATACTATAAAGTCTGCAACACGTATTTCATATTTGGATGTTTTACTGACTATAAACGATAAGGGCCAATTAACAACTAAATTATATCTCAAACGAGATGACGAGCATTTCCATCGTTAACTTTACTTATTTACGTAGTAATATTCTGCTATCACCTGCATATTGTGTTTATGTCTCCCAACTTATTATGTACTCAAGAGCATACCCTGAGTTCGATTTTTCAACCGAGGCAGGCTACTGACGGATAAGATGATGTTACAGGAATTTCATCAAATCGTTGAAATTCAGCCTTTCGTAAAATCTATAGTGTCTTTATCATCAAATATAAACCTATCATTGGGTCGTATTTTGACTGAAATATTTCATACCAATTATTAAGCCTTTGATTTTATACTTAATTTGACGACGGAATATTCCGTATACCTGATCAATATATATACATGGCTCAGCGAGTGTGACTGGTCGACAGGGGATGCTTACTCTTTCTAGGCACCTGATCCCACCTCTTGAATTTCCGGGAGTCCATGTTTTATGCCCTGTTCACAGATTTGTATTATTTGTTGGTTTCTTTTGAGATCAATCACTGATCATTTTCTTTGCTTTTTTCTTTAAAGATGTTGATGAAGATGACCTGCATTTAATAAGCGATATTAATGGTTGAAAAAGGGACGATGTGAGATTTGGGTCTGATGAAAATATTATTGATGCCAGAATGTTTTTTGACCATTCAACATAAAATCTTTTTCCATTTTATCAAATACATGTAAATCGACTTTTTTTAAACATGAAAGGGGTAATTTGTCAAAGCAGGGACAATAGAATGTATGTGAATGTTGTTAACGAAATGTGAAAAATGTAATGATCAGTGACAGTATAAAGTATGATTAGCAGTCTCAAAACTTTCTGATATGCAAGGACCTTATGTCCAAGAAGCTGCCTGTAACTTGAAAGTGGATAAAAGTACAATAAAAGTTTTCGGTTACATTCAGATTACTGAGTACGTAGGTGTGTACTTTCGTGTCCTTGAAATTCAAATTGTTATTTCAAATAACTTACTTTTTTTTTTATCAAGAACAATCTTTTTTTTAAGGACAGAGTTCAGTTTGGGCCAAATTTGACCTTTAACTTGTCAAAAATATACATGTATGTGAACAAAGTGAAGAGAAAAATGATTTTACGAACTGCAGGTGGTGTCTGATTCAAAACTAGCATTGATTTTTATTCGCAGCTTATACAAACAGGCCACAGAAGGGCGGTTCATAAGAACAATATTCTAAATTTCCACAGTATTCATAATTTAATTTTCAGAAAAATTTAGACACCTTAAACTTCTGAAATTACACAGATCAAGTTAGACTACCTGAGATTCTTATACAAAATATTTTTTCTGATACTTATGCATAAAATGACATAAAACAAACTTTTATTTAAATGAGAGGCATTTTTCCGATGAGTGATAGTACCTCTTGGACGAAAATTAATTGTCGCGAATACTTTGACAATGATATTTGACCGGATGTAAACGCATTGTTTTTTTACTAACTAATTTTACTTCGAATTTATGAAAAATGAATAAGAATGTGCTAATTTGATCAAATAGATAACATACTTAGATCATTCTGTATGTATTCTTACAGTCCTGTACAGAGCTGGCTCTCATTTCCGTGTCTGAGCTCTTTGTCCCTAAAAATACAAAGTTTTTGTCAGTGTTCCTCTTCAGACTTGTATGTTACGCTATACTGGTTTCATAGGTTTTCTCCCATCTTATTTTTTATAGCTAAAGGTTAATGAAATACTATTGCTTATTTCTGATAAATTTGATCTATTGTATGCAAAATCACATGCCTGTAAAGTTCTTTAAACTTTTTAAATATATTTTGTATAAAACATTTGATGAAAAAAAGATATGTATCTACAATGAAATATCAATAATTGCCTTTTTATTCATGAATTTAATTTTTGGTCCATCAGAAATCTAAAAAAAAAAAAAATACAAAATTGCGTTTTAGAGATAAATCACTCATCGCCCTTGTCTGAATAGAATTTAATTCCGTCCGAGAAAAAAGTCATTTTATAAGTCATTAACAACTCTTGAATGAGAAAATGTATTATTTACAGATAATTTAAAGCAACTCTCATCTAGAAAAGTTGACATCTCATTTTAAGCGTATCTTTGTTGAAAGGGGCTGAGTGAGTGGCGGGGGGGGGGGGGGCTGGGGAGATTCATGAATTCTAGAAAATAATGTTTTCCATACCCTAAATTGGGTTCACTGGAATCATTATTATCCCTCATAATTATCGCAATCACAATTATTTTCCCTCAACCCCGGATTTCTAAGATTATGTTTGATTTTTACTACATCATAGAATATGTAAAATTATCAATCATTGTTAAACGCCAAAAACTAGTCAATAACGTTTAAAATTAGACCATACACCTATTTTATTTACGATTCACCTTATTAAAAAAAACAAAACAAAACATCTGGTACACACAAAATAGTTTATAGACCAGTCTGACAACAAGGTTTTAAGTGCATAGTAAAACAAAAAAAAAAACATCAGTCATGTTACAGTGTCACTGTGTTCCCCGTGAAAGTTGTCAGTCACCACGCTTGGTGTTTAATGTAGGTACTGCGCTGGGGCCCTTTGCCCGTTTTATTCAGAATCAGATTTTATGTATATATATATATACAGTCTTCCCCTCACTATCCGGAGAACCGCTGTGAAATACCTAGGGCCATTAAGTAGCAGTCGCGAATCCTTTTTTGTGTCGCACCTGGACTTTATTTTTGTGCCACCTCATAAACAGCGAAGACGAGTAGATATTTTCTGCTAATCATCAGGACTAAGAATGATGAACTCGACATTCTCAGCTCAGGTAAGGCGACATTTCATTAACACCTGGACGTAATCGACGTTGATTGTTAATTATCTACTATACTATGTTCATCATAGACGTAAATATCAAGTGCATAAAATTTTTATATATTTTCACGGTAAATGAAATTCGGTGAATGATTATATTTATTCCAAAATTGTAGGTTTTTCTACGGCACAGAAAATGTCTGAAATTGTTTTTCAATTGCATTTAAGTAAGAATTATCATACCTTTCGTCACGGAGCGGCGGGCGGTGATGAGGCATGTTAAATTAATACATACATAATTTTATTCGACTGTGGAATGGGCCATTATGCTATATACAATATAGTTAAGCGTCATGGTTTTGTTACAGAATATTAATGGATTTTTTGCAATTTTTGCGTCGTATAAGTATATCGACAATAGTCTCAAAGTCTATGATTGAACATTTCGTTGAATTACCAATTCAGCGAATCATTAAATACCTCAGCAGCTTCTGTGTTACCCGTAGGTTAAGTATTTGAAGTCTTTAGATTCCTTATTTTGACCTTCTGACGATAGGAATTCCAATCTGAGCCTTTCTTTATTCTATCAGACAGGAAATCATTTATAAAAAATATTTTTTGCATGTAAGCATCTTAACTTTGACGGAACAAAGACAATGCAGAGTATCAGGTGAACTGTTGAGGATTGTAGGGATATTGGGGGTCTTTATGTGTCTGTTTTTATCCAAAAGGATTACGTTTATTGACCGTTCTCTCGGCCAAAAGGCAAAGCTTTATAAACTTCGCACCTTTTTGATCTCTTGAGCTTTGTGAGAATAATACTTTTTCAACAGTTGTAAAGAATTTGCGAGATCTTCTTTCGGGTTAAATTTTATAAAATTTCTTTGCAGACTGACTTGTCTTGCCCTTGTAAATTTTCTAGAGTAAACATGTATAATTTTACGGAGTAAAACGGGTTAAAGGGGATTAGTCACTCAAGACATTGATGTGAATGCATGTGAAAAATATACAAAACGTCATTAAGACTTGTTTGGAATGTTTAAAAAGTAGGATGGCTCATTCTACAATTAGCAAATTATGGTGATATATATGAATCTATAAATAATTATGGTGAAATTCATCATTATCCTGTTAATCATTGATGCGAAATACCAACTTAGCATTCTTTTGACTTTTCTAGTTTATATATCGTTTCCCTTTTTATTCGAATATTACTAAATGATTTATTTTCATCTGATTATTAATTTATTTATTTGTCTATAAAAATTAGTATTAAAATCCGAAAAAAAACTTGCGTGTCTCTTTACCATAAAATTGCTAAAAAGGAACTTGTTACAAGGAATTCTTGCTCATAAGGAATGATTTTAACGATTAATCTACATCAACATAGAAATAATTTTTCTTATGCATGAAAAATTGCATCACTAGAAAGAATATTATCCCCCAATATTTTAAGGTGTATACTAATTCATTCAAAGTAATAATTAATACAAAAATACAAAGTAGCAGGAACTTATACATGAAATGATTTTTTTAATCAATATTTTTGATATGTTGATGTTGTTTACCCGTAACGAATTATTTGGTTTTACCGACAGATTTGACATTTGTGTTGCGCACCTGTAACGAAGTAAATTAATAGGCTTCGGGGTGCTGCATATTGTCACCTATAGTTTTACTAAGATGTGTTGCATACATGTAATTATGTAAATTAGATTATTTTCACCAATAGTTTGACATCCGGGTGTTGTGGACAAACATTGAAGTGACGGAAGTAAATCTTCCCCTCTTGATGGAAAGAGTACACTTTCAACTGGAATTTACCTCAATCTGTGAATTTTGAAGCAGAGTTCAATCGTGTCACAGCGTAACATAAGTTTAGTCCATCAATGAAATTTTACTGCTGTTACATAATATGCCGTGACATACTTGAACATAAGGAACTGTCACATAAATATGAACATAAGTACTTCCCTACAGGGTTTAGTTGGCTCTGAGTTGTAAGGAGCCATATAAGCATGTTTATGCTGTTTCAAGGTCAGACATGGATTTAAAATTTCCCATCCATTGCGCGGATACTGCACAACACGTGAGGAAGTATTGGTGCTTTTCAACCAAAATATTTAAAAAAATGACCAAATGAATTTTTTCTTGACTGAAAAATAAAAATGATTTTTTTCTTTTATTTTTCAGTCATAAATTGTTACTTCATCACTGGAAATATTAAGTTGAATTTCCAGTGTCTGGTAGTACATAATTTTGCATATTTACAAATGTCAGTATAAAATATCAATTAGAGGAGACAATTTCCTATAATAACTTCATATTTTTCCCATTGCTAACCGAATTCTTTTCATTTATTACTTAAATAAGAATGGTTGAAGACGGATTTTTCCCTAAGAATAAAGAAAACTGTTCTTAACATTTAAAATATAGAATTCAAAAAAAAAAATACTTCTCATTTTCTCCCTATAATCTTATTTTACAAAATGTATAAAAGGGTGTCAGAAATACGTAAGAACACAGTATACATGTATATCTAAAAATATAGCGGTTAGATTTCTTTTCCTTTGACACAATTTTGAAATATTAATTAGTCTTAAATTCACAATCTATGGAGAAAATCCAACGTTTGAAATTTTCAACTACATGTATGAAAATCTTAATGTGTGTTTTAGAACAGTCCCTCTAAAAGGGTGTTGATATTGTTTTGATATGCATGTATAGTTTGTCCTTGATATGAATTTTCATATTTTGCAACTGTACAAACATATCAAATAAAACTTTATAAAATTTAATTCAATAATGTCCATTGATGTGCCGCTACAATTGTGCTTTAATACGTTGAATAAAGGACAATTATTTATTTCATTTTTTTAAAAGAGTTTTTTTTCTTTTAATCAAGCTAGACCTTTTTTGATGACCTTTTCGCACACAGCTCTTTAATCTTCGGCCCTTTTGTGCGTCAGAGACCGACCGTCCAACACTCTTCTTCTTTAGATTCTCTAGGATACTTAGTTTGCAACAGTCAGATACATTTTTTTCCGAGAGATAGATCGTTCATTTTGTCATGAAATTTCCTGTTAGGGTAAGTCTAAAAATGTCCTTTTTACCTTTGTACAATATTTTGCAAAGGGTACAAAGTTAAATCCCAAAGGTTTAAAAAAAAAAATAATTTTAATTTATTAAAACATTGGTGAAGCATTGATGGAGCGTGACAGTCGATAACTTGGTAAATTTAGTGTCTCGCGGACACTACCCGTGCTATTGTTGGAGTTCAATGTATTTTCAAAGAAAATATTGTTCCAGCGTAGGTTAAGCCAGTGTAATATACCTTTCCTTTTCAGTGTGATCCATTAACTTGGAATAGATTTAATTTTCAGTCAGTGGACCATCTATTCCCTACAAATAAACAACCATGACACCACATTCACAGAAAACGCCTGCCATCGTCCCGATGCCGATGGCGCAATCGCATCATGGCTTTAACCTTTGCGTACATTCAATTCATTGGTCGTTCGCTTTTGCCCACCCATTCAATTACTATCTTTACAATCATATGTCACATTATTATCATAAATATCTTTAAATTTATCTTCCCAGCAGATTTAAAATGTTGGAATTTAAACATTTCCAACTGCCTTCTATTATATTTGACTTCCAGCCGACCTAAGTACAATCGTGTTTATTTTACAGGTTTTTATTACCATATTAGGAAGTTTCACAGCAGGAGATAAAATCACAGAATCTGTAATCAACAAACCGAAACAACAGTAATAAGAATTATTTCGGTTTTTGATTTGAATGGTTGTGAATTTTACCATTATTCACTCTGTTCACATGATTTAAAAGTCACATATCATCAAAGATACTTTCATTTTACGGTAAGAATTGAATAATGAGACAGTTGTCGGGCATATCTTGTTAATAGTTTCTTTTCTGTTTAACGGCTATTACATGTAAATGTATATCTAAACAAATTACTGAAGAAAACAAGATGTGTTTGTGAAACACTGATGCCCCCGTATGGGAACTTAAAGCGAAGGTTAAACGTTCTCAAATGCAAATCAAATATCTTGGTACCCAAAGTAAGGTCTTGTCTCGAGGAATATACCTGTGAAATATGAAAGCCCTAATACCAACTGTTCAGAAGTTATGATCAGGGTTAAAGTTTTTCAAAATTAGGTAAAACTTCAAGGTCAAGGTCAATTTGGCTATAATTGGTGGAATTCAAAGTAAGGTCTTGTCACAAGGACTACATATGTGAAGTATAAAAGCCTTAGCACCAACTATTCGAAAGTACAAGGTTAAAGTTTTCCAAAAGTAGGTCAAACTTCAAGGTCAAGGTCAATTGGCTATAATTGTTGGTATCCAGAGTAAGTTTTTCAAAAAGTAAGTCAAACTCCAAGGTCAAAGGTCAAAGTTGTTGGTATCCAAACGAAGGTCTTGTCACAAGGATTGCATATGTGAAGTATGAAAGCCCTAGCACCAACTGTTCAAAAGTTATGGCCAAGGTTAAAGTTGGGTTAAATTTTGCAAATCTGGGTCAAACTCCAAGGTCAAGGTCAAACGGTCAAATATGATGGAACCCAAAGAAAGGTCTTGTCACAAAGAATAGTCATGTGAAACATGAAAACCATAGCTCCAACGAATCAAAAGCAAGGTTAGAGTTTTTGCTGACAAACATACAGACAGCCAGATAGACAGACGGACGGACAGGGCAAAAACTATATGCCCCCGAATCTTCGATTACGGGGGCATAAAAAAGGAATATAAATTAAATATGAAAAACTCTTACAAGTGTTTTTGTTTTGAATTACTATTCGCTTTGTTTACTACTAGTAAATCTATTAAGGACATACACAACGTAGTTTGAAATTTATTGTCTTCTTCCCTGGAGTTGAAGAGTTCCAATACTTAATGGAACTGTGTGCTACATTTTAATGTCTATATATGCTGTTGTACACTTTTTCTAAAACAAGTTTGGATAAACAAAACATCTAGAATATATGT